CCCAGGCTTAATATAAAACCAGGGCTTTATTTGTTCTAAAATTATGGTTTCTCTTGTGCCCCAGCTAGGAATTTGGAATAGATCCTTAATAAACACCCCAGAGATAGAAAAAGATGTTCATACTCCTGGGCATATGTCAGATGAAAATAGGCACACTGGCGTTGTTCCATGAGGGAATAGCCCCCTGTCATGCGCCATGAAGTCCAGAAGCTGTTGCCCTGGGCAGGCTTTTGTGGACGGGTTTCGGAAACGGTTCTGTGCCCAGCAGCGGCCGGCCAGAGACCTCTGGGAAGCCCACACGGCAGCCTAAGCCAGCACCTGGCACACAGCAGCTGCCCTCCATGCCGTGCGAGTACTGCGGAACAGCATCCAAACGACTTGGAGCCTGGCAGTGCCGGATTTGCTGCTCATTGCGAGTGGCACGTCGTGGCTTTACCTGGTGGTGCCCAGAAATAAATAAATGTGCCTGGGTGTGGGGAGGGGCACCTACCAAAGAGAGGAATTAATTTGCATGAAATTGGTATATACTGATGTGTATGTAGAAATGGCACTCTAGACCTTATGACTCTAATTGAAAGAGGAATGTGGCACGTTGCACCTCAGAGGGCGAGATTGTGGCTGGGTGACCCAGTGCCTGCCTGTGCTGCCTGCTGCTCCTGTGTTAATCGGTGATGACAGCAGTTCTCACGGTGCTCTTGAAACCAGAGCTGGTCCGGGTGGCCTTCTGTGACAAAGGCCACAGGGCCACCCTGGTCACCAAATTCCAGCAGCCAGTCCCCGGAACCCACAGGCTGGTTGTCCCCCTCTACCAGCCCACTGCCTATCCAGACCAGAGCATCTTGGGCAGGAGGCCAAGGTGGGAAGGCTGTGGGAATGCCTCGAAGCAGCCAAGAGCCATGTGTATTAATAGCCTCTCCGAGTGCCAGGGAAGATCTGCGTGCACAGGAGGGCTGAAACACCATATAAGGTGAGCTGGGGGCGATGGTTCCAAGCGAGGGGCTAATTGTGGCAACCTGGAAAGTTTTCTGAGCTGCCAAGCAAGACCTGAAAAAAGCAAGAAGGAAGAAATGTTTCTGGAATGGTTAGCAGTCTGCGGCACCTTAGAAGTACTGAGAGATTTCCCTGCTTGCACAGCTACGACTGGTGGTGCGTGTTCTTGTACACTTCTCAGCCAAGTGGTTCTTCGGAAGCAGCAGCAAGACGAAGTCAATTCACAGATTTCAGAGCTGCCTGGAAGCATGTGGTCCTGGCGTCCCTAACCCCAGCCACGCTTTCTCCAACCCAGCTCCCTGCAGATGTGCTGGACTGCAACTCCCATCATCCCCTGCCTGCATCTGGACAATGCCAGGCTGGGGGAGCCTGCCCTATTCAGTCCCCTCCCAGGAAGGAGCTGACTCACTGCACAACTTCCCGCATCTCTGTGAAGAAGCAGGCTGTAGTAGGCTACATGTTCCTCCAGGCCAGGGGTCGGCAACCCGCGGCTCCGGAGCCGCACGTGGCTCTTGGTCCCCCCTGCTGTGGCTCCGTCGCTCAAAACATGGCTGGCACAGCCGCTGATCTGCTCGAAGCCCCACTCAGGAACTCAGCACTAGCTAGTTAAGTAAATGGCTACATTCCTCTGCTAAACAAACTTCCTGCAGGCTCTCATGTTACAGGAAACACTGCTGAAAGGATTCTCTTTGTCCCAGTGTAACCTCCTTCATCTGCACGTTAAAAGCTGCTCTTGGGACCTGTCACAATTCACAGTACTTGACTGTTTATCTGCTAATCAGTCACTAAACACACCTGCTGGTTGACTGGGAAGCCCTGCTTGTCTTGGCCTGTGGCATTCTCTGCCTTGGCGGCTCCGCTGCCCCAGCTGTCCATGCAACTTGGCCCAGTGAGCACGCCCCTCATGGGACCGGAGAAGGCATCCACTCACCTGCAAGCATGTTTGTTTATTATACATGTATACTCCTCCATGCTGCGGGAGGGCAGGAGATGGACCTAAGCAGAGGGCAAGGAAGTGACTTGCCCAAGGCCTCCTGGGCAGCCCTGTGGTCAGTCAAGGCATTAGGCTTCCCACGCCGCCACTGTTGTTGCACTCTTTGTCCAGCACTCCCTGCTGTTAAGAGGACCCCGCAGCTCGGATGGGAATTGGATCCCGGTGATCCGGTTGCATAGCAGTTTCAGCACGATGATCCTCTCCTGTTCACATGGCGGGGGGAGTTGGAATTAGTCACTTGGGAGTACAAATAATGCTCCATGATGCACTGACAGAAAATGGTCCACTGGTCATTCGTTGTGCTGACTGGGAATGTTGGAAGTTGCAGTCCAGCACAGCAGGAGAGCCCCAGTATGGGAAAGGCTGGTTTCTAACATTTTCCTAATAGCTGACACAGTATGTTTCCTCTCTAGCTGCAATATATACATGCATACCAAATAGGTCAGCTGTGATCCACAAGGTCTCTTGTTCGTTATGATACACCAGACAAATGTGTGAAAGGTCTCTCAGTACCAGCTAATGGGACATTCAGTCAACTGATGAGGCCTCCCATTGCAGTTGGTTTATGTGCCAACGTTGCCTGTATAACTGATCTCAGTCGAGGCTTTCCATATGCGTGTACTGATGGGATTCCTTTGGAAAGTTCTTTGCTGGTTCCTGCTGTTGCCTGGGGACCAGCCCTGGGTGTGGTAGCTGGTACATCCTTCAGGGTAGGGTGGGGATTCTTTGTGCCAAGACCTCATTGCTGGGACAAATGACATGCTGTGCCCCAGCAAATGTATGCCAGGGCTCTGGAGCAGAAAGAGCCAGGACTGAAACACTGTGCTCATGCCTCAGGGCTTCCCAGCTCGGTTTCACATTCCAATGCCCTGTATGTGGCTGGCATCCTTTAATCTTACTGGGGAATCTGATGAGTGTGGAAGGAGGACTTAATTTTTGCAGGCTTAGCTGGTGCTTTCCCTTCTGCAGCCATCTCTATCCTTCCAGAGCCAAGTTTTGGGAGCTCAATGCTCATCCCTTTGGCTGAGCATGGTAGGCGCAAATCTGCTCCCTTCCCACACCTGGTGCCCAGAAATCTTTCTTCTGCAGGCCGCTGCTCTCTGCCTCTGTGTCCACACCTCCTGCAGCCTCCAAGTCCTCCCAACATGGATGTGGTAGAAGAAGGCCTAGTGCCAGCTAAAGGTGGAAGGAGAAGCACCTGGGGTTTCTGCTCCAACAACTTGGAGGGCTGCTGGGTGCTGCTAAGAGCCTTCGGCAACAGCTGGTCACCGAGGTGGCTTTTTCTGCAAATGATGAACCGCAGCAAGGAAAGTGTCACTGGGTGAAAACAAACCTAATCTTAAAAGAGAATGGCAGGTGTGGACACAGAGGCAGAGAACAGTGGTGTCAGGCTCCGTGGTGGTGGTTTGAGCTTGCTTCCCCTTGGCTTTGCAGTATGAATATCCAGAAGTATAATTCCATGAAACAAATTCCAGTTCTGCCTTTGTCCCTTCACCCTCCCCCATGGCTCAGGTTAGCTGACCATTTTGCCAAGTTTCCTTTTCAAAGAACTCTTTTCCCCCCTATTCATTTGAACCTTATTTAATTTCTGAGTAGGTACTAAACTGCTCCTGGCACTGGAGTAGGAGGTTTCTTGGTGAGGTCATGGATGCCAGCCTGTCAGTAATGCATACAGTTGTGTTTTTTAGCTGCAGATTTGGAGAAATGTTTTCCTCCATTTAGAGCTGGGAAGGAAATGTAGATTTCGATTGAACGTAGTGAGGGTGATACCAGACCCGCCACTCCAGAAAGATGACATCTGCTTGCTTAGTTCTTCTGAATGAAGACAAACACAGGAATGCTGTCTTAAGTGCTGTCTTAAGAGTGGGGGGTGAGGGTTGGGAGAAAGATATTGCTTTATCCCAGAAAGCAGAGAGACCCAAAGTCAAATCATTCAGTGGTGGATGACCTTGACTGTCTGTATCAAACCCGGAGACAGTTGTGCAAGAGACATACAGAACTAGATACAAAATTCAGCATCTTGCAGATCTTGGCTGGCATTTAAAATGTATCTGATTCTTGCAGCTGTGGAAATAGTTGCAAAATTATGTTGCCACGGCAAGTGGGCTGCGCTGGAGGGAGCATCCGTCCAACTGTGAACAGCACACTCCAGATAAATTGTGGTCAGCCTTAACTATGATTAGTTGAAGCAAGCTAACCTCAAGCCATAGTTTATGGAGCTGCTTTGTTTCAATAGACAATAGTTAAGATCATTCGCAGTTTGAGGACTGGGTGGCACGCTCGGTTGTGGTCAGTCGAAAGCAGAAGCCTCTAATCTCTGCTGCCCCAGAAGAGGAGTGAGTGCAAGCCTGCAGTGTCCTGTGGCACATCCTCTTAGTGGCAAACTGTGCAGTAGTGTTACATGTGACTGCAGCCAATGTATATAAAGTACTTCGAAGAACTGGGGGGAGTACTGTGTGAATATGGAATAGCCGCTTCCGTATCCACCAGCCAAATGTTTGTCTTCATGGCAAATGTTATGCTCATCGGTATCGCAAGGGACCCGGAGTGTGGGCAGTATGTCTCTGTATGATCTGTGGACAGCCTTGCACAGTGCTCCCTCCCTGTTGGCTATGCAGGTTCAAACACTGAAGGGAGGTGCATCCCTAAGGGCAACATCTTACATCTCCCCACAGGAACCAGTGGTAGCAATTTGCTTATCCAGGAGAAAGTATCAGGATTCACTTAGAAGCTCTAAAGCTGCTTCTGGCCACCAGTGAAATCAGCCCCTGAGAATCAAGCCAGCCCCAGTTTGCTTCACCCGCATCCTGGTTTCTGTTTCTTGCTCATGAGCAATGTCTGTCTGCACCTGTCCATCTGTCTGTCAGATCGGCTCCATGCTCTCCAAAGCTCCAGGTTCTGTGGACCTGGTCTAGCTGCTGTCCTGCAGCCTTGCACCAGAAGAGCATGGTGACCTCAGAGCTGTTCCCTTTCCACAGCTGAGCAGATTTTGTCCTGTCCTGTCCTGTCGCTGCAGCTTCCATCCCGTTCCTTGTCTGTGAGATTAATATCATCCCCCCCGTACGCCGCGGCTTCTTCTGCAACGACAGCAGCATCAGCTACCCGCTGCAGCACGTTGAGACCATTAGCGACCTGGTGCTCATCACGGTGGGGGTCCTCATTGCTGCTCTCATGGTGAGTTCTTGCACGGGGGAGGGAGGATGTGCATTGGCACAGGGTGCTGGGCACTGCTTCCGGCTCAAGGCACCCCTTTGCATGATGTTTCGAGGGTCACCTCTGAGGCTGGGAAAGTCCCCCAACAGATGTCCCTCCTTGGACCCTACGGCAGCCTTCCCCAGCCTCCTGCTGTATGGATGTTCCTGAGCGCCTCCCATTGGAGCAGGCAGGAACTGAAACAAGTCGGGAAGGCTGTCTTAGGGAGCGTGGCAGTGCCCGTGGCCTGCTTTCTGCCACGGGTGCTTGTGCCAGTTCCCTGCACCTGTTTGTAGCATGGCCCCACAGGGCATATCATTAGGACTGTGCCCTGCAGGGGCCCCTTCCATTTTCCTTCAGCAGAGATTGCTCCCCATCTCCCCTTCACAAAGTACACATTGCCAGATCCAGCACAACAGTTGAGCCTGGTTCAGAGGGGGAACTTTCTTCCGGACCTCAAACATTCTGTCACATCTAGGCCATAAACTATACTCTGTGGAAGCTTGCTATACCCACGTGCCCATTCAGGCAGATCTTTTCCAATCTTGCTTCTCACTCACAAGCTCAGGGCTGGCTTTGTGCCCTGTTGATTGGGGCAGTGGGACCTGCTGCTAACAATCAAAGAGAAATGCCCCCCGACCGGCACTGGAATTGCTTGCAGGCCAGCTTCTCTGCTTCTTTTCCAACACAGATCATCCTTGGCGAAAGCTTCCGTGTGCACAACCTGCCCCAAGGTTCACGGTCCACAGTCCCCAACCCTTATGTGGTTGCCCTGTACAAGGAAGTGGGAGCCTTCCTTTTTGGCTGCACTGTGGGCCAGTCGCTCACCAACGTGGCCAAGACTGCTGTGGGTCGCCTCCGCCCATACTTCCTGGCAGCGTGTCAGCCGAACCTCACTCATTTCAACTGCAAAGATGGATACCTGGAGGACTATGTCTGCACTGGTGGCGCCTCTTTGGAAAGAGAGGCTAGGTGTGTATTGAAGAAGTCCCCCCTCCCCACACTGTTGGAAAATCAGTGCTCCCTGGGGACAGCCTAGAAGCAGCAAGCAGCAGGCTTGCGAGAAATGGCATGTGCAATGCCAGGCACCTTGCAAGAAACTTCACGAGCGGACCAGCCTCCCGCTGTGCTTTTTGCATCTCATACAGTGCAGTGCCATACTTCTGGCATGGTGGCATTTCCCTTTGTTTCCTTTCCACTTTTGTCTCCAAGGTTCACCACGTCATCATCTCCCCAGGGTTCGTTCTTTATTTACATCCCTCCTGTTTTGCTGGAAGGAACCTAAGGCGACTCCAAAATACTCCTTCCCATTTTATCCTTACACTAATCCTGTGAAGTGGGTTAAGCCGAGGGTCAGTGACTGGGCCAAAATCACCCACCTGGTGACCCTCACAGCCAAATGGGGGCCAGAACCCAGATGGCCCAGGTTCCAGTCCAGCCCTCCAGCCACTCCACCATGCTGGCTTTGTCCTGTGAGGGGAGAGAGCAGCTGATCTGGGGAAATGATGACGGTGGAGACTTTGAGCCAGGATATCCCTAGAAAGGGGAAGGGGAAAGATTTTGGTGCCTTAGAGATGAACATCAAATGGGTTTGAAGAGTTAGCCGTGAGAATCCTGCCAGCTAAAATGGAAGTGCCATACCTCCAAGTGCCGGATGCAAGAGAGAGTAACACAAGAGGAGGGCCCTCCCCTGCATCCCTTGAGACACACTTCTCCAAGATATCAGTCTTCGTGCTGTTGCAGACCACATGCTGACCCAGGTGGACCTCCCTCCGTCTGGACCCTGCAGGGCAGTCCTTATATATCGCTGAGGCTGGAGCCAGCCGGAGCCATTGTGTGGAACAGCAGTGTTTTTCTGGTTGTGCCGGTAAAGTAGCATGTGACACATTAGATGTGCTCCATGCCCAGACCCTGGGTGGAAGAATCGCAGGAGGCACCGCTCAGTTGCTGTCAGTCCCGCTGGTCTGGTCAGTAAGAAAGGAAGTGGACCCTGTGTTAGTGAAACGGTTTGGACTGCCCCTGCCTGAGCTCCTGGGAAAAGTGTCTCTCACCATAGCAAAGCTTCTCCTAATGTTCGGCCAAGATTTCCCCCCTTGTGCGTTCTATGCATTGGTTCTAGTCCTTCCCTCTGGCCCTTGGCCAGAGATGCTGTGCTAACTTGTTTTTCTCAGCTCTGGAGGGATTGAGATGGGATGGAGGCGAGGCCTCCTGGCGAATAAGCTGAAGGGCACAGTAAGAGTGCAGGTGGCTTACCCCGTCTGGACTGGAAGCGATGGCAGCAGGTTGAACGGCGCTATCCCAGCATGTAGAAAGAATGAGAAGAGGAGTTTCATTTTCACGGCCCAACAGGCCCATGGGCAAGGAGGGCAGAGCTCCGCCCCATCTGCCTATAGGGAACCTCCTTCCAGCCTCTCCCCTCCAGCCCTGCTCTCTGTGCCAAGACACTTCCAACAGCAATGTTTATAGGTTTGCTGTCAGCTAGCTGTGGTCCCTAATTAAATAGAGTCCTCTCCCCAGACTTAGCTCTCTTTCCTGCGGAAGCTGGGGATACCTAGATCTTGCTGGAGGAGGGGTAAGTGAGCACTCATCGCTGCCTTTCATTCAGTGGGCTCCATGCATGGATGGCTTTCTCTGGACGGTGCCTTCTCTGGACACGCAAGCAAGCCCATCACATCGGGCAGGGTTGGCCCGCCAGCTGTTATTGGCCCATCACTTCTAGACATTCGTAACTCCTGATGGCAAAGGGACCCGTTTGGTGCAACAGGAGTGAAGGGGGTCTGCAGGAGTGTAGCTAACAGACTGCAAGGCTGGGGTTGTCAGGGGTCTGTGAGCCAAACTCACTGGGATAATAATCTAGCTGTTGCTTCTGTAATCTCCCATGCTCCCAACTCAAACAAAGCATGTCCTTTTCTTTCCAGAAAGTCCTTCTACTCTGGCCATGCCTCCTTTGCCATGTATACCATGATGTATCTGGTGGTAAGTCCCTGTGCCGGAGCTTACGAGTCTTCAGTGGGGTCATGCCGGCCATGTTTCTGGCCCCCTTGTGAGTCACAAGGCCTGAGGCACGTGTGCACAGCTGCACAAAGAAGCAGCCTTATGCTGTCGGGGTGAGCGGATCCCTCCACTGTTCCAGCAATGTTTGTCCCTGAGCTTTGCCTTGGTGTGGCGGATGCTGATGCCCTCTTACGAGAAGCCATATCATGTGGGTGCTTTGCCATATGGGGGAGCCTGGGCACAGGTTCATTTTGCTGTGGCTGCCTGGATGTGTGAGATAAGCCCCAGAAGCCCTGTCTAGTAGGGCAAGCCATCCTAGCTACCACAAAATCCCGTAAAGGGATGGAAATACCGTTTGCAGTCACACGGAGCTGCAGCAGCAACTCTGTGAAAGCTAGCAGTGCCTTTTTTCGCATTCCTGTCCCACTGATTACATTAAACTGGGCTTCTAGACCAGCTTTCCCCAACCTGGTGCCCCTGTGTGTTGGACTACAGCTCCTATCATTCCCAAGCTGATATGGTTGTGGAAGGCTGGTCTAGATGTTTATTGGCTAGAAATTGTGAAGGAGCCTTTCAGCTCCCTTTCCAGAGTTGGCAGGTGATTATCGGGTGCTCTGCTGTCCATCCTGGCCAAGGAACATATCTAAACCACAATCATAATCTGGTTTCATTATTCTCTGCTTTCCCCAGAAACCTGAGAATCATAGCTGGGAGTGCACAGCCGAGCATCACCCACACAAAACTCAGCACCCTCTCCAAAGTGCAATCCCAGGGCAAGCCCCGCCAGTGTATCCAATTTGTTATTTCTTAAGCAGCAATGTTTGTGATGTGACTAAGTTGGAAAGTGAATAGTCAGTGAAGGGGATCGAGATGATCAGGATCCTGGAGGGGAAATGGGCCAGGCGACAAGCCAAGGAAGGCATCTAGAAGCTTTGGACCTTTTCCACTGGGGCAGGAAAAGGAAGTTAAGGGGGCTAATTTCCACTGTTGACCAAGCTACCTAAATTTAAATCCTGGTTGTGTGAAGAATTCCAAGGATAATTAAAGCAAAATAGTTAGGGGCAGGAGATGTCTTGGTTCTATCAGGCCAAGCTCCGTGTTGTCGTGCATTCCACTGGCTGACCAGGGAGAAGACCCTCTCGTCTGGAGCCTGCTGCACCTGCCGAATCACTGGGGCTTTTTGCCTGTTCATGGCATTCAGGGCTTGCCCTTTATAAAGGCTGCTCAGGTTAGGTGTGTTCAGGTGTCAAGCTCATCCCCAGCTTTCTAAAGTGAGGGCAGCTGCATCTCCCTGGTCCTTGTGCGCAAGTAAATGCATGCACCTTGAATGCTGATGTGTGCCTGGATGTGCGGCCAGTCATTTCAAATGCAGGGTTTATTTTGATCTGTGGAGAAACATCCTGGTCCTAAAACGATGTTGCTCAAATCCTGTGCATTGGCAAGAAGGAACAGACTCCCTCTTTGCTCTCCAATGGGCCCAGAGGGCACTGTGCCAGAACACATTTGCACAGCAGTGGAGGCGCCCTTCAGTGGTGTTTCTGTGGCGTGGGGAGAGCTTGTACTCCTTGTGAGTAGACCCAGCTGCATGATCACACACGTGCCAGAACGGCAGAAGAGCCAGCCTTAGTCTCTCCTGTGAAATGTTGGCAGAGATGCCCTTTATCTTTGTTTGGGGAGATGAGGAAATACGGATAATTTAGTTCTGCCTTACCCAGCCTGGTGCCTTCCAGCAGTGTTGGACTGGAACTCCCATTGTTCCCAGACAGCACAGCCAGTGCTCCTAGCAGCTGGGAGTGATGGGATTTGTAGTCTAATGTGGCTGGAGGACACCAGGTTGGGGGAAGGCTAACTAGATCTAAGAAAAGGAACCCAAGGCTTTTGTCTCATGGTGCAGTTCCTTAATACCCCATTTCTACCACAATTCCTTCTTAGGGTATGACCTTCCTGTGGAAAGCATTGGGCATGGCTTAATTACTAAAAGGCCTTGGAGCAGTTGGTCTTATGAGCTTTCAGGAATGGACACAGTACGGCGCCTGTGGCCTGTGGGAAAGGGTTCTGAGCAATCCCGTGCGAGAGATGCTGTTTTGGGGAACTTATTTGGGACTTTGGCTTGTCAAGCCCATTCCAACTTTTCCTCTATCTGCTATTGTTGTAGCTCCTGAGAAACTGACTCACGTTGCGTCATTGACCTGCCTATATTTAGAAAAGAGATTACAGCGGCATCCCAACAAAGCCTGTTCCCTTCTGGGTGGCTGTAGTGCCAGGATGTGGCGGGGGGCAGGGGGGGGTGTGCAGCTCAAGTGTAGTCTGTCTGTCTGGTTTTCCTGTAATAGCTTTCCCTGACTGGACACCCTCAGAATATGAGAGGTTTTTAAGTCCTGTTAGCCCCAGTGAACATGGCCAGTGGTTAGGAGTGCTGTGAGTTGTAGTCCAAATCATCTGCAAGGCACCAGGTTTGTGAAAACTGTCCTCAAACCTCTGACCTGTGAAACAGCTCCAGCCACCCAAGTTTGTGAAACAGCCACATTGACCTGGTCTGCATGTAACTGTGGCAAATTGTAGGTTATGTGTTGGGTGCATGCTGCTTCCGCTTTGCATAATTAACTCCCAACTGGCCCAATGGGGAGTGCTTCATGATATGCAAACCTATCGTATCACTGTATCACTATAGGTTAAGCAGTCTACAGATAAGGATTATGGTTAGCTGTGGGTAATCTAACTCGCGAATAACATGTAGTGCCTGGATATCAGATGCAACAGCAGACATGTTTTGCACATCAGAAACAACCTCTGATAAAGCTGCTTAGGGCTTGATTATATAAAGAAGCAGCAGCGTGTAACCCAGCAAATTATAGCTTAGATAACCCACAATTTCCCACCATCATGAGTGAACAAGCTCCAGGCAAGGCTGCAAGAGTGGCTTGACTGAGGAATTTATGGGAAAAAGAAGATTTGAGTGGGAGGCATTCCTGGTTCACAGCTCACCCTCTTAGTTTCTGCATGATACTGGTCTTCAAGACTTCACTGTGAACATCTGGGAAATACATATACACTTGAGTCTGGTGGAAGATCACTTAGTTTTACAAGGCAAGATGAAAAGGAACATATCTAAAAAGTAGACTGTCTATGCATCTGGCAGAGCAGGCAGTTACTTATTACCACATGTATACCTTGCCCTGCTTTCTCGGAGCTCTGGACAGGGTTACTCCATGTTATCCTTACCACAACCCTGCAATACAGGGCCCAGGTAACCCAGTCGTATTCCTGGCTGAGTTGAAATTCAGAGCACGCTCCAGATCCTCCATTCCTGTCAACTAGGCAGCAATGGGTCTTAGCCTCTCATTCTTCATTGCTGGTGAATTTTCATGCCAGAGTAAATGTGTTCATCTTTAAGATCCCATGGGATTCCTTGCTAGGCTTAACATGGTTGCTTTCCACACACTCTTGGTTAAACCTCCTTAGTCTCCGTAATCCCACATAGCCCCTTTACCCTTCGATAGTCGGGAGGGTGATCTCTGCCTTAGGTTCACAGGCTGTCTCACTTGCTGCTCTGAAAGGTCCCGCTTTCCTTCTAGACTAGGGCCCGTGTAGATCCCAATGGTCACGGCTGCCTGGGAATGATGGAGGTCACTAAGTTGGGGGAGGCTGGGCAAAACTTTTTGCCAGCATTCTGTTCACTGCATTCTGTTTTTCTGACCACCCCCCAGTTCTACCTGCAGGCCCGGTTCACCTGGCAGGGTGCTCGAACACTACGTCCGCTGGTCCAGTTTGTGCTGCTGATGCTGGCGATATACACGGGGCTGACCCGCATCTCTGACTATCGGCACCATCCCTCTGATGTGGTTGTAGGGCTGCTACAAGGGGCCGTCGTGGCTTACTGGGTGGTGAGTTCCAACCTTCATTTGCCTATCTGATGCTGTCCCAGCTGCTTGATTTGAGTGGTGGAAGTACAGGGTCATTTGACTTTTGGGTGAAGAATGTGGGAGAGAGACATCTAGACAGATCCTTACCAGGCTGTAGAATATGAACATTCTTCTCTTATCTGGTACCACAGCTTCCATAGGCCCCAGCTATCATGGTTAATGGTTAAGAATGATGGGTGTTAGACCTGGAGTTAATTTTTGTTAGTTTCATAAGCGACTGGGCCAGGTTTTTGGGGGGGATCCTCTGATCCACAGTATTCATAGACTATTGGGGTTATTCTCATTTAATTTATTTAAAATATTTCTAGGCTGGCTTTCAGAATAGGAGCCTTTGCAAGGCAATGTGCAATATTAAAATGCATATAATATGGCAAATGTTACAAGAATCAGCGAACGCCCACCTAAGTCAGAACCTACAGCACTACTGCAGTTACAGTCTAGCCTGATAAAGGTGAAGGCTAGACTAAACAGTCGTGGGGCCTTCTGAAAAGCCTGCAATGATGGAGCCAAGTATACCCCCTGAAGGCAACCCATCCCAGAAGTGTGAGGCCACTGCCAAAAAGGCCCTTTCTGTTGTACTTGGCCTTCTAAGTTTTGCTGTTTCTCCTCTGTCATCCTTTATGTTGGAGGGGGTGGGGTTCCCTGTTGCTTAAGTTAACATGCCCCAGGAAAGGTGCCCTTTTCCTGCTCCACAGCACCGTGTGGAGCTCGGCTGGGATGACAGGATGGTGGCTGGGAAGAGGAGACACGGAATAGTTAGGAAGGGTCCGCTCAGTGGGGTTTGGTGCAGTCTGCCAGGAAACACTAAGGAAGTGCACACCCTTGGCAGCATTGTGTGCAGGCGACTGGGAGGAAATCCTTCAGCTTCCTACCCTGGCTGTGGGATTCCAGCCCCACCCACCGGCTTCCACTATAGCAAAGGGGGAGGCGGTGCAGAACCCTTGAGCTGAGATGTCCTGCTGACGCCGCCACCCAGCACGCTGGCTACAGGAACTGGGAACTGAGTCAAGGCATCCGAGCTATCCGTAATCCTATCGGTCACTGGAAAGGAAGACTGGCTTCTTGAAGGCTGATGAAAGGGAGGGAGTCTGATGAATCATGTACTTACACACACAGCTTTAGTCATTGATGGACATGTGGCTGTCGAGTATTTTGGAAGGTTTTTTTAAAATCCTTTTGGACCATGTTCAGTAGAAGCCAATAATGGAGCTGAAGGCGGGGGGAGGGGGGGTTCTGAAAAGGAAATGGCGAAGTAGACGTCTGGGAAGAAGCCCTTCTTAAATCTCTGTGTGTGGGGGGAAGCTGCAGTTGTTAAGTGGGGAGGAAATGGCACTCTGCATGTGCTTGTAGGTACTCTTCTTCTATAATACAGTTTTCTTTGAAGAAGAGGCATAGTCTCAGATTGGAGGGATGGGGTCCTGAGTAGGTGTAGCTAAAGGAGATGTAAGTGGAGGAGGTGATACTTGCAAGCAATTTTTCCTCTTTGCCTAACCAGCCCCCTTGGGCTGGGCCAATTGGGCGAAGCGCCCATTAGCAATGAATGTAACAAGATCAAGCTCCAAGGACAGAAAAGCAAACTGTTAAGCAAGGTGGGCATAACCTAAAAGTCAGTGCTGCCATTTTTGCTGTGCATTCCTGGTCCAGAATTCAGCACAAATTCTGTTGGACTTAGTGAGATTAACTAAGGATTAGCTGTGCATAGCTTTGGTCTCCAGGATTCTCAGCTTTCATTTTTTTAAACCAAAGGAGGTTTCTCATTCATGTGCCTACTGAGAAACGCCTGAGAATATGCAGGTAAGCAGTACCTTAAAGAAAAGTCACACGCCAGAGAAGGAATTTGGCAGGGCTTGCAAAGGCCACAGGTTGAATTTCTGGCCCGTGTGCAACATTATGATGCCCCCCACAGCACGGTTACCTTTTGGGGGCAAAATTACATCTGCATCATTTTTTGCACCTCTGCCTTTCCCACCAAGTCCTAGTCCAAGAGTGCTCCCCCCCCCCCCCCTGCTTTCGCACTGGCAGATACAATTGGCGGTTTGAGAAAGTGTCTTGGGCTCCACTGCAGTCCTGCCTCTTTCCCCCACCACCCAGCTGAGCACGTTGCAGGTGCAGGCTGGGCTGGGCTGAATTACCCTCTCCATCCACACAGCTCATGCCTTGCAGAAGGAAACAGCAGTGGCAGCAGCCTGCGCTCCTCACCGTCCGTTTCCCTTCTCCCTTGTGGTGGCCGGAGAGTGAAAGCTGCATGTTTCCTTGGCAGGGAGATTTGCGGGCAGCCTGGCAGATCTTCGCGGGCAATGCAGTGCCTCTGGGACACACCCTGGGGAGAGTGGCCTGGTCAATGTGCCAAACTTATTATTTACAAGACTTATTTTATATATAATAAATATAATTATATTATATATAAAATATATTATTTTATATATAATAACTTATTTATAAGACTTATTATATATATATATATATATATATATATAGAGAGAGAGAGAGAGAGAGAGAGAGAGAGAGAGAGTGTTATAGTTATCTCTTGTATTTTAATCTATGTTGTGAGCCGCCCCGAGGCTTCGGCGAATGGGGCAGCATAGAAATGTTTTAATAAATAAATAAAATAAATAAAACTTCCTGGATTCTTTCAAAACACAGATCTTACAAATAGAAGTGGAATAAACTTTCCTTCCCCACTGGCTCCCCACACCCTGCAGTTTGAGAAGGGGGTGAACCGAGGTGATTTACAAACTTTAGAGTGAGAAATTTTGTGAGAGTGTGCATGCTTTTGTTTCAACGTGAGTTCTCTGTCCTTTAAATCAAGTATACAGGTTAAATTGGTATTACAGGACTGAAGCATAGACTTGTGACCTGAACATTTGTGCTAAATTGCATTCTAGTATCTCAATGTGCATAAGAGAAATCAAGTTATAAACAAATCAAGTTACAAAACAAGGGCTGTTGATGGTCAAGTTAAATCCAGTCACTTAGCTCGATTGCTTTTATGAACACAACTGTGCCAGGTTTTCAACTCTAGATATCTTTCCAAAGCACTTACATGCTACCCTCACTTGGAAATTTGGTTTTCCTTGGAAAAAAGCAATACAGGTAGCTTTTAAGCTCTTTCTTAGCTTTGGAATTAGGATGAAAGTCTGAGCTGTGTTACTAGTATCTGAGAATTAACAACCAAGGTAAGGTTTGAACTCAGGACTTCTGGATTCATAGCTTCTGTTCTTTGTCGATCTGCTAGGCCAGTTCTTCAATGGGTTCAGCAGGCAGACTCTCCTAGGAAGCCATATGCAGCCTCCCTGGTGAGATTACTTGCCTTTCCAGCTAGGCATGCTCTGGATGTTTTGGTCTTCAACTCCCATAAGCCCCAGCCAGCAGGGCCAATGGCCAAGAATGCTAAGAGCTGTAATCCTAAACATCTGGAGAACCTAGGTTGGGGAAGTCTAGATTGTGCATTGTGGCCAGAACTGGTAGAGTCAGAGGGAAAGAAGCGTATCCCATCTGCTGTGACTTCTCAGCTATTACGTCTCAGGAGCAAGGTAGGGTGGTGCAACCAAGCCTTACAGACTGTCTTTCTCCTCTTTCCTCTTTCAGGCCTTCCATGTTTCCAGTATGTTCCAGGACAAGTACCAGCTTCCCCACTTACCTCCATCCAGCAAGATCACACCCAGGTCAGACGACCACACGAACTGCTAGAGGATGTTGGGGACTGCCGGGGGAGAGTTGGGGTCCTCTGTTTTGTCAGCTGCAGCAACCTGGACCCCTAGTGCTCAGGGCCCAGCATGCATCGCCATGCTGACTGCATCATCTCCAGATAGAAAACTACAACCTGCTAGGGGTCACTGGAGTGATTTTGCCTGCTCTCGTGCTGCAGCATTGCTAGAAGCACCAAGAGAGTGATGTCCCAGTAGGGCAACAAAGATTCCTCACTGTGTGAACAGGGCAGTCTGGTTCCCCCCTGGAACTGAACACATGAGAACACTCTTCGGTTCCTCGTATGCTTCCTTTCCATCGGAAGACATGACAAGTGTGGGCTTTCTTTAGACTGTGCTCCCAGAGGAAGCTCCTGAGGGAATCCCATCTTTTTATTCCTGCTAGTCTACGGGAAGACCTGCCCTTCCTCTTCAGTGATATTGGATGATTTGGCCATTGAAGTATTATGTACCTGGACTGTGCTGCTAGGAAGAGGACTGCTAGCACAGACAATTCCAGCAAAGCAGCCCTGCTGCTTGAGAAGAAGTTGCATGCTTAGCAGAAACAGATACATGAAGGAATGAACTGAAGGTGGAGATGAGAGGAGGAGAGTGTCTACGAAAGCATGGAGTGTGGGCTGTGGATTCATGTACTGCACTGGTGTTGCCAAATGCTGCCAAGTATCTCAAACCCTCTCCTTCCTTGCCTTTTCTGTCCCACACCCCATAATGTGAATTGTTCACACACATGCACACACACATGCACATACACACACGCACACCCATGGAATAAATGGTACTGAGAATCATCTGGTTTCAAAACCAGGTTGGGAATCCAAAACAGGCTGCACCCGGGCTCAGAACATTTCTCTGTACTGTTGACAGGGTTGTTTCATTTTTGGTGACTTCACAGGCATGGGAGTTTGGTATCTGACACAGAATGGGTTCTTGACAAGAGTCGTTTGCATTTAAAGCAAAAGTGGGCTTCCAGTCCTTATGGACATGTCCTTTCCCTCCATCCATTCACACCTCCCTTTGAAGTCCCTCTGCCAGCTGCTAGAGGAGGCAGCAGAATGGATGCAGTGAACAGATTTATGCATGCTGATTTCAATTATCCAAAAGTTTGTTCTTGTGTAGTGAATTATACAGTGGTAGTGGCAGGCTCAGGGGAAGCCTGGGGGGGAATGCAAAAGGAGGAGAATTCCTAAATCAGCCAAGGAAGGCTGGTCAAGGGACGCTGTCTGCATGGGGAGGGGAGGGGATAGAGATAGATCAATGGGCAGGAGGGATGGAGCAGCCCTCCCCAACCTCCTGCCCTCCCGTGGTTTGAGTCTTCAACTGCAGCAGCCCAAGCCAGCATGTCTAATGGTCAAGGCGTGATGGAAGCTGCAATCCAAAACATCTGGAAGAAAAGGTTGAGAGGGCTGCTGGGGGGGATCCTCGGCAGAAGCACCCCACATTGCAGCTGCCTGTTGCAGGTCCCACTTGTCCCAGTGTAGAACCAAATGGTTCCCTGCCCCATTTCCTGTTCACTCATTTGGGAACCTGTCCACTTAAAAACCCACAGCAAGCTGCTCTCAAGCTTGGTACCAAAGGGAGAATGCAGCCTTGCCCATAAGGGGGGCTGCTGCAGAAGAGTGGCTTGGCTGGCCCCTCTTAAACTGCAGTGCCCAAGTCAGTTTCTAGCTCTGCGGAACTGACACAGGTCTGACTGGATACAAATGTGTAAGCTTAATCTATAGAATAAGTACCAAATTCTGTTTGGGCTTAGGCAGTTTGCTTGCTTCTGCTCACGCGAATCTTTGAAAGGGGTGCAGTGAGTCCTTAGGTTGTCGAGAGAGTTTTCAAGAGGGGTTCTTCCCAATAGGAAGGGAAATAGGAGAAATGTCTCTCCAACCATCCTGATGAACTTTCCTCAGCAACGCACAACTGCAGGGGAGGAATGGTTCTGCTTGAGTGTTTATTATTTCAAACTTTGGTCTTAACTTGGGACATACTTGTGCAGAAGCTTGGCTGCCAAGGCAACTTTGGAGATGGAGAAGAGGCAAGTGGAGGAAGCACTTCATCCCAAGGCTCAAAGATTTGGCAGGGACCACCTTAGGAGTCCCTGTAAAGAGGGCAGAACTCTGGAAGCAGCTGGGGGGTTGCCACCAGAAAGCTGTGCTTGGGAGAAGAGTGGAGAATCCCTCCTCTAGCTGCTGCTCTGCCCCAAATTACCTGCTCCCAGAGCTGCTGCTGCTTCTCAGAAGGGCTCATCAAGCCTTTGATAATGCACAAATTTGTTCTACCCTGAGGCAGGAGGCTGCCTCCAAGAAGCTACTGGCAGAAAGTCAGGTCTCATGAGAAGCGCAAGGGAAGGAGTGGCGGTATGTTTGTACCCCTGCTAACCTCTCAGTCAGCTTTCTGAAATAATGATAACAGAGGCAGTTTATGCTCAGTTTTGGAGTGCTGCTATGCCGGCAGAATAAAATGGGGGGGGGAGGGGGAGGTTGCAGGGGTTCTAATTCAAACAAAAACTGAGTCAGTACCAATAAGAGGATTGCAGCTTTATAGACAAGTATTTACTTGAAGGCACGCCTAGAAAAGACTTGGGAGAAAAGAAAGGACACACTTTGCCTAGAATGACATTACTCTGCTAGTGGAAATCCAGAGTTAGCAACAGAGAACGAAGGGGCATCCCTCACATGGCCTCACACTCTTCTCACCCTGCTACAGGTGCACATTTTTCTACCTGCACCTACTGAAAATTGGCAGGGGATCAATCAAGATTTAGCCATACTTAGAGTTAAGGCTATACGGATTTTGTTTAACCTGTTCCACCTGTATTCTGTGAATGATTAGGCATTCTTTATTTCGTTTATTCATTGACAGATCCATTTCCCCCCCTTCAGAAAACTTCTCCACAATTTATGACATTTCTGCTGGCACACAATCAATTTTTCTTAGCTCAGGATACAGTCAATGAGCAAAGGGCACACAAAAAAGATAGTTACACAGCAGAGGTTGAAAAAATATCAGAGATGTATAAAACATTGTTTATTTTTAACGCCATATAGATTGGGTTATTTCCCAGCAACCTTTATATTTTTGTACAATTTGTGTATAATTCTAGAAAGTAAAAAAGCCATCCACAAGTCCATGAAATCTGCACAACTGGGAAGATGCTGCTCCATTGCAGAATCCACAGGTCAGATGCATAAAGATCTGATTTCAATTGAATCTGTTGCAGATTTCTCTGACCTGCTTACTTAAGAGTATACCCATTGAAATCCAGGCCTTAACAGCAGTTCCACCGTTTTCAATTCGTTCACTCGAGGGTGGGCAACATCGTACAGCAGGAGCCAATGCACCCGGACACCTCCACGTGCTTCAGTTGTTCTACACTCTCAGTTCTCTGTTTTCATACCAGCAACTAGGAGTCCTGTAGAATAGGGCTAACTGAAACAGTGGGCTCCAAGGACTCACACCCACCTTCCCTTGTGCTCAGCATCTTCAGCAGGTTATTTGTGCTTTGTGACTAACCAAAGCCCCTATGACAGCCATTTGGTGCCAAGACCAATTTCTCAGCTTGCTCACTGTACCCATGGCCCGAAAGGTTTACCCCAAGTATGACTACTTCAGGATCTGTTAAAAAGCCAACAGTAGTAAAACTTCAGAAAGTTATAAGTGAAAGAGGGTGCTCTCTGGGTCCCCTGCAAAACCCCATGTAAGAGGAAGGGTGAGTGCTCATTAACAGCCTTGTCTGGAAGAGCCGACTGTGCTTCAAAACCCGAAAGCAAGCAGCTTTGGCGATCTGGAGATCTAGTTTGCCTAGATGGCATTGCGTCTGATGGATCTTCTTTCACGCCTGTCAGAAAAAAAGCCCTCTTCCAGGCAACTGCAAAAACTGCACTTCCTCCAGAAGCATGTATTTGTTTGATCTATGCCAGCTGGGAATGTGGGGGCTGGCATACACTGTTGGCTCCACAACGTTGAAATCTGGGGGTTCTGATGATCAGGGCAGCCCTTTTGCCAAAGGCGAGAGCAGTTTTTGAATGTGCATGTGGAGGTAACATGGTCATGTTTAATTGCCCCCGTTTGCTTATCTGAAGCCCCATCCCAGCTTCTCCCTTTGTCCACAGCCTGCTATGCCCCGCTCTCTGCTAGGTCCTATTTTCCTAGGAAGGTGTGTGAATCCAGTCTTCAGCTGAAGGGTGTGCCAGAGACAGCATGGCGAGATGTATGAGGCTTGGTCCGTTGAGCCCAGCACAGCCAACCTGGCTGGAAGCAGCTCTCCAACTGAGAGCCTTTTAACCGCCAAAGTTGAGGCCCTGCAGGGGGTGAGTTCACATGGTTCAGCCACCCCCTTTGCTCATCCCCAGATTTAAAACCAAACATCTTATACTCAATACAACTCTATTGTGTGCAGGTTTTGTTAAGCATGTTCACACACTGTTTTGTAGATTGTCAGATACCTTTCATTATATCATCAATTTATTGCTGGAATTGGCTTTTTTATTTTTTAGGATTGTATAATAATAATTTAATTCCATTTGTATAAACACGCATTGGCGCTACTGTACATTATTACAAATGTGAATTTGTGCAAATCGCCTCCATCTACCAGACTATACAACCTATGCAACTCAGAAAATGCTGGTCTACTGTGGAATCCACAGGTTGGAGTCAAAGAAATCCAAAGTCATTTGAGCTGGCTGTGGATTTTTCCAATACCGCTCGCCTTACACGCGTCTACTGAAATATCAGTCCCACTGGGACTCATTCACAGGTGAGTGGGTGTTTAGCTGCAGCCTAAGCAAGAATCCAGACTCAGAGAGGAAGTCAGAAACCACCACCTGATGCTTCTTTTGGGACCTTCTGAGGGCTAAAACAGACTTGTTTCCTGAGAGGCTCTCAGGAGGCAACAAGACGCAGTTGTGGAGCTGGAGTGTGGGACCTTGGTCTGGCCTTGCACTTCTGTGTACTTAGCTTAATTATTAATCCATCCCCGTGTGGGAGCAAAGGTATGTTGGGTGTAGGCGGAGCAGGTTAGGTGCTTTACAAGCAACTGCTCCGGATGCTAGGTGAAGAGGCAGCACATGCATGAAAGAGGAAGTTAGTCATTTTAGGCCGGGCCTGAAAATCCCATCCAGCCAAGCACAACCCCACAGCAAGGGATCCACAAGCCTGTTCAGACTGCTCACTTGGGACTGCGAGTACAAAAGAATGGGGTACTGAACATGGGATAATGTATGCCATGCAGGCCACAAATTGTGTAGCCTGAATCAAAAACTGCAGAGGGCAGTGAGACAGCAGCAAGTTTCAGTTTCAGTACACCAGCCTCTACTTTGAAAACCATGCAGTGAAAGTACATTGAGGCCCTTCTGCTGCACTTAAAGGGATCCCTCTGCTTCAACCCAAGTTAAGTGGGAGAGCTCGTGAGGCCTGCCATGTGGATGCTGTGGACCTCAGGTTGCTCTGAGATGAGGCTGAACCAGCTTACCCTGAGTTTGAGCCTTGAAGGGCAGCCAAGCTCCAAGGAGTTGTTTCAAGGGCCTGTTTGGGAACACTGACAGAGTTCACATGTTACGCCAAGCTGCAATGGGTTACAAGCCTGGTTAGCATTTGCATGCCTTGCCATGATATCTGAAACCAGCCTGGGTAACTGAGCATGGATTGTTTTTTCCCCCAACCAGCCCCGCTGAGAAACCATGGCTTGGAGCAGGGTTGTTCCGGATATCTTGTTCTCAAGGTAGCTTGTTGTGGTGGCCCACCCAGAACCACAGCTTGTTCCAGGGGGCTACAGGGCCACTGGGCAAAACCAGCAAAGACACCCATGCCAGTCTTCTCAGTCTCAGCAGTGCTGCCCCCTGCCTTGCTCACCCATGACTGCTTTTCCACCAAAAGACACTTTGGAAAGACATTTCTTTGCCACCTTTTTAACAGTTTTTTTCCAAAGCTCTGGGATAACAGAAATTGAGTCTTTTTTTTTTTTAAATACCCACAATCTTTTACAAGATTGCAGATATGACTGCCCATATGTGTGGATTTCTCTTGGGAATTTCCTTGTAAGTTACAGCTGTCAAATAGAGTTTGGAACTGATGACAAACAAGGAAATTGGTAAGAAAGGCTTGCATGTAGGGTGATCTGCACACAATTGCAAAGAACTAGGAATAAAAACAATACTAAGAGAAAGCAGAAACCCATCGGTGTCATTCAGAGGCAATGAAAAGGAAAATAATGAAGCCAGAGCCCCAAACAGGAGTATGAAAGGAGGATTCCAGGACCAACTGTTCTAGGGCACAATCATTCAGGACATCAAGAAATGTAACCTCTTTGCCATGAGTGCAACATCCATCTACCTGGTTAGTGTGGGAGGAATAGAAGTTATCTGTTGTTAAATACTTTCTCATTTGGAGGCCCCATCTTCATTTTGCATCTCATGATCAGCCTGAGTGTTCTGGTCTGGGGGAAATAGCATGTTCCAAGATGGTATTAGTCTGGAGCCAGGGATTACATACCCAGAGTGTTTCTGTGGAAGACACAGCCCCTTTAAAGTTTTCTAGCCTACTAGTCATTATACCCTCTTGGACGTACAGACCAGCACTTCCTCCAGTATCACCTTCCTGGTCCTTCTTATAGTGTGTACATCCAGAAACAGCAGTATCCCTCTGGTTCTCTCCAATCCACCAGGTTTCCATTTCCTGCTTTGGCATAGAGACTTCTAGTGGCTGCACAGAAACACCTCTCCATGGGGTGTCTCTGGGTGTCCCTGATGGTGTGCATCATCTGTTTAGGCACCTGAGGCCTCTTTGGCTATCATATTTCACCATATGCTCATGACCTATTTCCTGCCTTTCTACATAGGGCAATCAGAAACCTTTTCATCTTTAACCCCCAGGGACGAATTGCTCTGAACTGAATGCTTCCCAGCGCCAGTTGGCTTTTCCCCAGGGTTCAGTCTAAAAGCTGCTCTGCCACCTTTTAAATGTTTTACTCTGGTAGTCTGGTTCCATTTCTGTTCAAGTGGAGCCTGTCCCTCTTCTACTGGCCCAATGTACCCCATAATGTTCCCTGGTACCTCGCACGTCTGAATCCCTCCTCCCTGCACCCACACATGTATGCTGTGTGTGGAACTGGTGGCATTCAGAGGAAGCCACCGGGGTGGTTCTGCATTTTAACCTTCTAGCCAGCAACCTAAATTTGGCTTCCAGGACCTCACGACTACATTTCTCCACATCACTGGTGCCAACATGGACCATGACTGCTGCCTTCGCTCCAGCACTATCCACAAAGCTATCTAGATGGCATGCGATATCCGCACCCTTCACACCAAGCAGGCAGCTTGCAATGCAGTCTGCATGCCCACTGCGGACCCAGCTGTCATGTGCCCAACGATTCCCGCAGCTGCTTATCAGCTCTTCCACTTATTTATGTCTCCCCATGCAGCCCACTTCCCAGGCTGGGGTTTCATCAGGAGGGCAGGGGAACTCTTGATCGGCAGCACAGGTGAGGCTTCCCTGCCTTCTCTGCCCAGCTCCCACAACCCCTCCATGGAAGCGATGTCACCATCCTCTCCCAGTCCCTGCCAGTCTGTGCTCCGGAACAGCCCCCTCCAGGATAGTGGCTGGCTCTGCCGAAGGCCCCTCTGAATGGCTCCTTTATGTGCACTCGTGTGCATGCGCGGGGGGAGGGGGGACAGCTCCCAGAGATGCGGCTGGAGGGAAAATAGCCCAAGCTGGCACTGCCAAGTTCTTCTTGGCATCCTGCACAGCCCCTGCTTGGGGGCGGGGGCAAGCAGCACGGATGCCTGCTGTTGTCTCAAGCAGAGGGTCTCAGACGGGCCACAGAATGGGGCAGCTGCTCTAAAGAGGAGCCGCTGCTTGCTGGGTGGGAACTCCTCTTGCTTTCATCCCTCGGGAACAGGTTGTTTTGGATTTCCTTTTAATTTTTTGTTTGGTACCGTTGGTATTTTTGAAAAATCTGTTGGACCACAAGTGAAACAAAAGACATGTGCATGATATAGAAAGTCATGGATGGTGGCTTTTTCCACTTGACTCTAATTTCCATGTGTGTGTGCATATAAGTACATGCATACCTGTGTAAATTTATGAAAATAGCCAGGCAGGGGACATTTTAATCTCTCTTAGCTATCCATAGTGGTCCAGATCTGGATCAGAGCCCCATGTGCTTACCTCTAAGCAGAGAAGATTGTAAGCAGCACACAATGTGTTCAATGTATTCTGTAGCTCAGACCGCCACCCACAAAAGGTGTCAGTCGAACTGCAGCGGTATCTGCGGTTCCAGAGCCTAGAAATCAAGCTATGTCAGGAAACAAGGGCCTCTCCCACAGGAGTCCAGCTGCTTCTCTACAAAATCTGCCCAATGCACATTTTGCTGCTGTCTGCAGGAAACAAGGTATAAGGTTAAAGCTGCAATCCTATGCATGTGGAGACAGTGGAAAGCCCTACAACACCCACCATTCCCAGTTTTTTCCAGTCTAAACATGCATTGGATTGTGCTAAAAAAGCACAAAAACCTATGTAGGTGTTGAAAGAGTGAATAACTCTCTCTCTCTCTCTCTCTCTCTCTCTCTCTCTCTCTCTCTCTCTCTCTCTCTCTCTCTCTCACACACACACACACACACACACACACACACACACACACACACACACACACACAGTTCCAGAGCCTCTAACCAAGAAAGAGGGAAGGAGGATGGTCTTCCCCAACCTGGTGCCCTCCAGATGTGTTGGACGAGGTCAAAGGTTTCAACAAGAGAGGAAAATAAAAGTTACTTGTGAGCACCTGAGATTATTGTTTTCCTCTCATAACTGCCTTCCCCTCTGAATTCTTTTCACTGGGGTTTTCTCAAGTAACAACGCCTCTTTTGGAAACCTCAGGGCACGCACATCAAGCACGTTTCCTCCGCACTGAAAATGGTTACAAGGCCGCGGGCACGCCTCAATTCCAGAGGAGCTGGAACACAGTCAGCTCTGCAATGTCAGATGTGGTATCAAGTCTCAGGGTTTGGCTCCCAAAGCATCTCAGCTTTCTCAAGCAGCAGCTTTCCGACCCGGATGGTTGCAAAGATACATTTGAATGCACGTGGGCAGAGCGGCTGGCCTCTCAGAAGCCGAAGCAGGTGCTGCACGAGGCCTCCAGTATCAGTGGGGAAGCAGGACTCCGGTGCCCCACGCAGCTCTTGACCCATCCGCCCGGCAAAGCAGGAGGGGCGGGGAATGTGCAGGCTGCAAGGAACGCTATAAGGTAACTCACGTGCATTTGCTTCTTCTGCGCTGGTTTATACCAACTGCAGGAGTCCGCCAGTGCGGATCCAGGTTGCAGGCGCGCTTGCTTGTGCAAGGCATCCGCAGTGGCCCCTTGTCCCTGCGCTCTCAGCTGCTGATGCCCCTCTTCTTCATCGCAGCAACTGAAGGCAGCAAAGGAGCACACAGGCACTCACTGCTCCCTCGCACTGCAACTGGCCCAGACCAAGAGGTCAATGGGAAAGCGCGCTGCAACTGGGAAGAAGAAGCGCTGCCCAGGGGCTCTTGTCCGTGTCCCCGGCCTGGCGTGGC